AGGCTAAGCAGTGGAACTCTGGGTGGGCACAATCTGATCACAACCTTCTCTGCTAATCCTGCAGCCTAGAGAAGGCTCAAAGTAGGTTCTCCAACTTTAGCTGTTCATGATTTATGTATCAGGCCGGTGGATGTAAAAATCTGACAAACTGTTCCTCTGTGCACAGGAGGTGAACAGCATGCCTTGTGTATTTCCATTTTTCTTCTAACCAGGCTGTGCCTGTAGCTTGACTTTCCTTCCCCTCCTGGAACCAGGAGTGCCCATCAAGGTTACATTTCCAATTATCCCCGCTGTGGGACAGCAGGCACCTCCAGGAACTGGGGAGCAGAAGCTGCTCATACCACCTCTCTGTGCATCAAATTCATGGAAGTGACCTCTCCCAGAGCCAGCAAGGGCCTCAGAAATACTGTACTGAAATGCCATTACACTCAGGGAAATCTACCTTGGCCTCACTTGCCTGACACATCTCTATTGTACATCCCGTCTTAAGTCCCATCCCCTCAATTTTATCTACGTTCTCTCTCCTCTGTATTTTTATTCTAGAAGATTTGAATATTCTCCCACAATGTATATATAATTAGCCTGCAGTACTGACCACGTAATTACTGTAACTTTTCTACTTGTCCTGAATAGACATTTTTCTGTATGTATGGATAAAAAATGACTGCCACGTAGTTGGCAAAAAGAATGATGTAAATTATAGGCCAACAGTGTGATACTTTCACAGAGTGATTCTAATTTTAGTCAGTCTACTCAGTTTTAGACGTGTCTTACTACATTAATCTGTGACTTAGGTATATTAAGTGACCGAGATTAGAAATAAATTTGAGTAGGAGAGTTAATATTTAAACCAGGAAAGACATTTTATGAGCATCAGTGAAGAAGTGCTGTGTTTGGCAATGACGTGCACATAATATTTCCTGAAGTACTTTAGTACTTTTTATACGATGTGCGCACATAATGTGTAGCCTAATGTCTCATGTCTATCAGTTTGAGAATTTTTTTTTTTTTTTTGAGCCAGAAATGTGTTCTTTTAATATTTCATCCTTACTCCAGAACAGTTCCCGAGAAACCCATTCTTTCACTTTCTGCCCCAGGCTATTTATTATTAAATCTCACCGCAGTAAATGATGGCTTGCAATGAAGTTCCTGCTTTCCCTCAGCCAAGAACCTGTGGACACTTTTGCCTCCCCCTGGCTTTGCTGTGCACTCAGCAGACCACTCAGCAGTCTTTCTTTCAAGATAGATCTATGTGAGCCATAACCTGTGTCGTGGTGCAGCTCCTGGGTTCTGCCTTGAGGCCCCAGTGCTACAGAGGTTGCAGGCTGGTGGTGCCTGAAATAGAGATAGCTTACCTTTCCTTTGTCTTCCAAACCCTTACTAATGCTCAAGGACTGATGGCATCTGTTCTTCATCTTGTCAGCCTCGCACTGACTTATTTCCTTCCCTATAACCAACTCCTGACTGCTCCTCTTGGGACCGTGTGTGCTTCCAGGAGTCTCTGAAGTAGCTGAGCAAATGCATTTACATGCCACACCACGAGAACTTCCAGCAAAGAAGATGGAGAAGAGTTCATATAAAGGACATGGTTGCAGGAGGCTGCATGGAAATTGGTCGGCCCTGCTCGTGCTTGATTAAATGTGAATTTTGCTGCTGCTATGGAAACAGGATTGCAGGAAATATTTATAATTACCAGTGGGTAAAATATTCCAACATTTTATCTGTTCTGAAACATTTTGGCCTTGGAGTTCTGCTCCGACTGAATATTGAGCAAGCTGGTGAATCTGACCTGAGCTGCTGGCTCCAGTTCACCCAGTGAAATCATCTCCTTTCCCCAGTACAACATGGATGTCAAAATCCTTGAATTCTCTGGCTCTGGTGTTTAGATTTATCTGTAAGTCTACTCTTAGAAAGATCCTAAATTCAGGATAAGGTCGGGATTTGCCAAGTGGTAAAGCAGGCTTTAATGTCTGGAAATTCATTATTATTTGGTATATAAAACTTAATGAAAAGCTCTGCAGGGACGGAACTTCTGGTTTTCCTTTTCTCTGATCAGGCTACATTTACTGCTAGGTCAGATTTCCTTTCACAAAGCTATTTCCATTCTTAAAATGCTCCCAAGCTCTGTGGTAAAGGCGGAGAAAAACTCCAGCAGAGTAAGTAGTCTTCAATGGCCCAGCTTAGCAAGAAGATTTTGAAGAGAGGAAATGTGCATTTTTTTCACAAGTAAATCAGCTGTAGGATTTGATAACATCCTCAGTATTTGTGAACTGCGCTTTCACAGATGTCAGCAGAAATCTGTTTTATCACTGATTAATCTAGTGAAATTTTGAGATGTTAGTGTTGTATGCACAAAGGAGTATACTAGCTTAAACATGTAATCATTTTAAAGAAAAGCTGACATTAAGTGTTCTCTTGAGAAAGTCAGTTTAACTGAAGAGTTACTTGCTTCAACCTTAGAAGCCACTGGTAGCCAGGGAATGGTTCTGTCTGAATGCAAAAAGTGCCTTTGTCTGCTGGTTAAACGTGTTGTGGCCTCTCTGTAGGCATGATATGGTCAGAGTGTAAGGAGATCTGGGAAGAGGGCCCACGAGAGTATGTGGTACATCTCTGGAACCTTCTGGACTTTGGGATGCTGTCCATCTTTGTGGCGTCGTTCACTGCCAGGTTCATGGCTTTCCTCAAAGCGACTGAAGCACAGCAGTACGTCGATCAGTACGTTCAAGATGATGACCTCAATAATGTCACCCTTCCCCCTGAAGTTGCTTACTTTACTTACGGTAAGATGCTTTTTGCTATCTAATGCTTCTTGTTCTTTCAAGGTGTTGTGTGGTAGTGCTGAAAGTACCCTTTTTTTTTTGTGATATTTATGAAAGTTATTTTCAAATTAAAATCCTTCTTCTGAGATTTACCCATTCCAGCCATTTTCATAAGCAGCCAAAAAGAACTGAGATCTGACCCTCATCGAGTCTCTGATTTTGCTCTGAGGCTTAGCTCAATCACATCCTGAAAAATAGCTTGAGCAACAAATTATCGGGACCTGAGAGGATATAATTTAAATTATAGATGATGAACCCACTTCATTTTCCAAATGCAAGAGGAGGGACATGTGAACCAATGTGAGATCTGGAGCTGCATTTTTAACTGGTGGTGTGCTCTGCTCTGCATCTGTTACATCCAATGCCTATGTAATAGACATACAAATAGAAATCACGCCCATACGCTGCTCCATCTCCAAGAGAACACCTTTATTTCTGAGATCCTACATGATTTATAAGTGCTAACATTTGGAAATGCAAGCAATAGCATAGCTTTAGTTAACATTATTTTTGATGTTTTTTTCTTTGATATTCCCAAACAAACAGAGCTTTACACTCCCATACAGTGTCTGGACTTGTGTGCCTCTGTAAGCTTGAGATATAACTTGGATGTAGACAGCGAGCTTAGAACCTTCGAGTAATTGCTAGTAGTAACCAGATAAGAAAGTAGTGACGCAAGTGCTTACGCACGATAAGAGGGGTGTAGACGAAGTTGTACAAGGCTATATAAGCTGTTGCCACGAGTTAATAAACGCCATTTTACCACCCACCACATTGGTGTGCACCGAGGTAGATGGACAGACCGATGAGTCCCTAACGATTGCGAACACCTGTATGAAGCTGAAGCGGGCTTCCGGCTTCACTTGGATAAAATCTGTGGGGGCTTTGCTTATGGAGGGCTGCAAGGTCTGTGGGTGTGAGCACACTGGAGCATCCTTTGCTCACTAGGCTTGCAAGGCAACGTTCTAGCAAGGAGCTTGAACCAGAGAGGCAGATCTGGGCTGGCAGTTTTCATTCACAATAGACTTGCACCATGTGGCACCAGGGACACGTGCCCTGAGCCGTGGACACGCTCAGCCTCCTGCCTGCCTCTCTGAAGGTAAGCTTCCTTCTCGCGGCTCCAACAAGCAAGAGGCCTCTGAACTCATGCTGTGGTTCTGCTCTCTGTGGTTTGCTGGTGACCCATTTAAAGTGAATTCATGATATAGAATTGCAAAGGGTCCAGCACAGAATGTCACAAGCCGATCCTGTGAATTCTTCCATCTGCTGCTTTTCCTTGGATACGAATTACTGGAAATAATGCTGAAGTTTACTGCTGTGTCCTTAAAGATGTCACTTATTTTGGCTCTGAGTCAATACTTTCATCAAGGAGCTCAGCTGATGCAGCGACACTTACAAGCTACATTAATATAAATGATCAATTTTTCAGTAGAGTAAACAAACAACGCGTAACTGATATCAAAAAGACATTTTTTAAAGTAGAAATATTAGAGTGGCTATGTTGCCAAAATTGGTTTCAATTTAAAGATAATACAACAGTGATACTTAGATATTTAATGACTGTGCCTGCTTTATCTGAACAAATTCAAGCTTCCTTGTCTAAAGTTACGGAGACAGATCTCAGCCTCCCTATCGTTCCTCTTCCATGTATTGACATAGTGCCATGTATCTAGCTAAAGTTATAGCCACTTATATTTGCTCTGTTGTGATTTTGGTTTTCAGTCTCAGGGGCATCAGCTGGAAAAAGGACAGCGCAGTTGATGCTCCAATAGGAAATCAAAATTTCCAAACTTTTTAAAAGTTATGTCTTTTATCTGTTGTGTGACTTTGGTAAATCTCAGTGACTCACTCATTTCTCATCATTTCCATGTCAAAAATGCAACTGTTTCTTGCCCATCCTTGTAAAAAATGCTGAAGACTTCAGTGACCAGTTGTTCCAACCCCCCCCTTTTTTTTTTTCCTTTAACTCCTGGCCAGAATCAAGATTAAGCCCTAAAAAGGAGTCATTTATCATCATAACATCCACCTTCCACTTTTCATTCCTAATGTCTGTGTATTGTTTTAGCCAGGAACAAGTGGCTTCCCTCGGATCCTCAGATCATTTCAGAAGGACTGTATGCAATAGCTGTGGTACTCAGCTTCTCCCGCATTGCTTACATTCTTCCAGCCAACGAAAGCTTCGGGCCCCTGCAGATCTCTTTGGGAAGGACTGTGAAGGATATCTTCAAGTTCATGGTCATCTTTATCATGGTGTTCCTGGCCTTCATGATTGGAATGTTCAACCTTTACTCTTACTACCTTGGTGCAAAATACAACCCTGCATTTACAACGTGAGTACTTAAGGAAAAAAGGCTGTTCTTGCAGGGCTCTGTTCATTCTGCTTTATTGCTGCTGCTAACTCTGCCCAGGTAGCTGGGATGCTGCTGAAAATTCTTCAGCTGTTAGTCAGGTGCTTGGCTAAGAGCAGAGAGGTGTCTATACAGTGGTTGATTCCATATGCAAACAAAAGTCCATCTCTTGAGCCTACCTTTGTGTTCTCTATTCTTCCCACCAGACTTAAACCTCCCTTCTTCTTAGCTGCTCCCTCCCTACTACTCACTGGGCTTCCCACAGTGGGGGCTTTCCATCCCACACCTCCCACCTGTGAGGGAAGAGGAAAGCTTGGTGTGATGCTTTCCCCTTGCTGTGATCTGACATCAGGGCAGTCTCACCACACTTGTAAAGCCTGAGATGAGGAGCAGACAGCAGCTGGCGTTGGATTTGTCATTTCTCTAATGTGTCAAACAGCTAACCTCAGCTCGTAGCTCCCCTGGGAGAAATGACCTGATTGGCATCATTTCTGCCCTGTGAGTGGCTGTGTCCTTCCAAAGACAGGAGCCAGTCTTACTACACTGCTCTCTTGTGCAACACATACTTTGTACCACAACGTTTAAATTTTCTGATTGAGCCAAATGTGCCTTCTGAACCTTTCTGTAACTCAGGATACACATTAATGGAAGGATTTATGAGAGCGGATGCAATTACATTTATCTGTGCTCGGTAGTAAGAGAGAAGAAAACTGAGTGTGGGATGTGACTTGGTTCTTATTGGAAGAGAAGATGTCCTTGAAGCACAAGAGTTAATGTGAAGTTGGGTCGATGCTGCCCCTGACTGCAGCAGTTGTGGTGTCCCCCAGGCATGTCATCAGAGCACCCGTTAACAGATTCCAGTCTCTGATGCAAAAATGATATCTGTCCAATTAACACACACAGCACAAGTGGATCTCTGGGTCTTTTGATGGAAATAATGAGCAAACATTGCCTGAAATGGTGACTGCTCACGGGAGGGAAGAATGCTTGAGTGCCTGAGGGCTGTCTGAGCTGGGGAGAGTCCTGTCAAAAGGCACTGCTTGTCCTCCTTAATGTCAGCCTTGTGATCACTTATCCTGGAGGGACTTCATGGAGTTACAAAGCAAATTTTCCATGAAAATGAATTTTCCTTTTAATAGTTTGGAAAAGACTTAAAATAAGCTTGATTTCCTCTGATTATATAAACATGCAGAAGTGTTAAAGGATGATGAGTGAAAACGAGCCCTTCATCACAAAAAACAATGAGTGTAAATTAACATTCATCCTCAAAATCCTTCTCAGATGTCTCATTCAACAAACCAGAAACCTACAGTCCCAAACAATTTTGGCAAGCTAAGAACGATATGTTGGCAGAGGGGCTAACCCTCACAACATTTCCTTGCCTGCTTTTCTTGAGCAGTCTGTGAGCCATCCTGAACATGGTGCTTTCCTGCTGCCATTTACTTATTTGTGACAAGAGGGGAAGTCTCAATGTGTTGTCAAAATTCGCTGAGGCAAAGAGAAGTGCTCAATTTGCTGAAGTTGTAAGCGTTTTATGACTTCACTGACTTCTCTGAATGCACCTCATAGCAGACGTCGCAAATTCTAATGCGTGAAATTTTACAGAAATTAAATTTCCTACTCAAAATGATGGCTGTTTTACTATGGGACCTGACTTGGATATCACTTGGCTAATTGTGACAGAAGAAAAAACCTGCTGGATTTGTGCGTTAATCAGATTGTGGCCGGTTCCAGAGGGCACTGAATTGACAGCTCCCTCTGAACATCACAGTCGATATCCCCAGCGATACCCTCACAGACAAGGAGCTGCTCACAGAAATAACACTGGATTTCAAACAACCACAGCTTCCCAGGACAGTGTGTAGGAAGAAAAAAGAATGCATATTTGTCCAGGTATCATTGAGAGGGAATTGCGTGCTTCGATCTAATAATTATAATAATAATAATCCATGACTGCTGGTGTAGCTTGCACTTTTGGAATCCCGTTCATTTTGCTTTCTGCAGAGCAGGCACACAGCACCCCGGTGGCCTCTGAACCATGTTATCATGCAGTTTCTGTCAGTTCTTCAATTTTAATGTTCTTGACGCAAAGGAAATGAAAATGCAGTGTGCTTTTCCTCACGCTGTTAAACACTAACAGTAGCTAACTGTGGTATACTTCCAAATTTTTCTTTTTCAGTTCTTCAGTGCTGAAAAGTTGACAGCTTTCAGGACTCTTGCAGCCGACCCCAGCACTGTTTATGTGTTTATTGTATGCTGTGTACAGAACACAGCTCTCCAAACAGCCCGTAATTATGAACATGCTATGCAAACAAAATCGAAATGGAGGCAAGACTGATTGTGTTCGTCTTGCTTTCTGCATCGCAAATCAGGCTGAGGGCTACAGCATGAGGGTTTCTGTCTGCTTCTCCCCAAGGGGAACTGTGACTCACTGCTCAGTGCCAATGTTACTTAAGGGCTTGGAGGCTTTTTTCTTCTCATTCTGCTTTGTCAAAATGTGATATTTTTGTAGATTATATTGACCGTGTTGCTTTTCTGGCAATGTTAAAGCTCTACCAATCAATTTAAGGAAATAACTCAGTCTGAAAGGATGCCTTAAGCTTTCTTAAAGGGGAGGATGCAAGACTGACATGAAATCATGTCCTCGCTGTGATCTTTTTTGATGAACAGCACACAGCTGCTTATAGAAGCAAGGAAAATCTGAAACTAGATGATTGCCTGTGGTCTGTTTTCTTCCTTAATGCAAAATCTTTGTTTAACTTCACCAAGACTGCCTATTGAAGCAAAATTCTTTTTGTTCTCACTACAATTGCTGGCCCTTCTGCAGTGAGGAGAGCACAGCCTACCCATCCCAGCAAGCAGCACCACTCAATCTGCCCCTGCCAGCTCCCCCTGCTCTCCAGAGCTGTCAAGATGGACAGAACTCCTGATCTCTTCCCTCATTTGTTTGCCTTTGGGAAGGATAAAGCACGCTGGGTCTTTGCAGGAGGGGGGCAAGGAGCATAGTTGATGCTGCCGAGACACATCAGTGTCTTGGAAATTTCAAGAAGTTGGCTCCAACTGTCCTCATCTCGTGTTTTAGTGAGACATTTTCAAAAAGAAAAGAATACATTCCCTGTGACCTGTGCCAAATCTTGTGCAAATTGACAGTAGTGAGAGGGGGGGAACCATCCAAGTTTGGTACAGGCTGCCCAGAGAAGCTGTGGATGCCCCATCTGTGGAGGTGCCAAAGGCCACGAATGGGGCCCTGGGCAGGAGAGCTGTTGGTTGGCAACCCTGCCCATGGCTGGGGGCTTGGATCTTTAAGGTCTCCACCAACGTAAGCCATTCTGTTTTTCTCTGATGCAGCCTCGTCAGAAGGTGGGGATGACCTAGTACCAGGTCCCTTCAGAATCATTTCCTCCACAAGTGAGAGTGCTGTGTCTGTCTGTAGGCATTGCTGAGCGTTGTGTTGGGATGCCACTTCTCCTGCCACCCTCCCACTCCCATACCCACTTTTCTTCTGCTTGATGCTAGGATTAAGGAGCTTGGGCATTTGCAAAGGAGCACGACGGCTGTGCTGGAGCCCTCAGCTTCTTGGGGAGGCCAGGACCAGCCAGTAATTTACTTTTCAAGGAGAACCTGACACCTCTCCAGAACAAAGGTTAATGCTTAAGCTGCAGAAAAGGAGTGGAGTTGACATGTTGGATTAAAAGCCACCAGCAGGGTGGAAAACTAAGGGAACCTTTCCAAATTAAAAAAGGGAAGTTAATAGCAGGGTGCAGCTGGGATCAAGGCTGGTGGTTACGGTTTTCATTAGTTTGATAAGTGACTTTGATGACAGGTTTCAAAGCCACTGGTTTTTGGTGTTGTACAAGTTCTTTAACTAGAAATACAATGTCTAATAGAATAGGAGCTAAGCAGATTGCTAACATAAAAGTGAAGGATATCTGACACGTTAATGTCAGTTGTCCTTTGCTGCGTGTGATGGCAGGAGACAAGAGCAGAGTGAGGAGAGGAAATACCCACCAAGTAGAAAAGAGGTGGTGCTTTTTTGCATCCCACAGGTAAATCTCTGTGTAAAATCCCAGCCTCATTGCAGAACAGCAAAGAGGCGTGAACAACAATTTCTCTGAGTAAAATGAAGACTGAATAGAAAGCCACATTTAACTGATGTTGTGTGACACCTATTTGGAACACCGCTCAGGATCATCTCCCACAAGTCAGAGAGGTTATGATGGATGAGAATGATGCCTGAATATTTACTGCAGTCTTTCTACTATGACATGCAAATGGAGGAGGGGATGCCAGGAGTTGTGATGGGAGATAAGAGCCAGTTTGCTATGGCTGAAAGGAATTGTGGAGTGCTCTGCACACGCCCTCCAGAGAGTTTGAGTTAATTTTTGCCTGCACGCATAGTGTAAGAGATACCGGAGTGGTTGCAAAGTTTATTGTTTCCCTAGGACATGTTTTAGTTTGTGTCTATAATCTGTTTTTACAAACAGATTTTGCAGGATTAGTCTGCCACCCTAATAATAATAATTAAAAGAGCTTGAAAATAGTTAATGAATGGCTTTGTTTTCTTAGAGGGCATTTACCTCCTGGGGTGCAAGTAAAGGCATTATTTGCTTTCAACTTGAAAACTAAGCGAAGTTCTTACAAATCATACCAACATTCTTCCTCCTCCTCCCCCTTCCTTCATTTCTGTCTGGGGCTGCCTTCTTTCTGCCTGGTACAGCCTTGACTCCTCTGAACTAAGCTCTGTTTTTGATCTACTAGTTTACCTGCATCCTTTCCATTTCTTTGTCATTGCCTTATTCTCCTTTTTCCTGTCTTTCAGCATTTTATTTTCCTCTGATTTCTTTCTACTTCCAAGTAAATGTAATAATCAAATTTAAATGCCTCCTGCAGCATCTTCTATTACTCCTTAATTTCAAATTGTTTAGGAACTTAAGTTATTATTTTTTATTTTTTACAAGTCTTTGAGTGCCTGAATTGTCTGTTGTCCCAAAGAAGGATAGGAAGAAAATCAGACCATGGGATGACTTTATTTTCATGGTGCACTGGTTACACTCATGCCACAAGTCAGAACTTTTCACAGATTCCTTTTGTGCAGAAAATAATGCTTTTCTTCTGCCCTGGAAATCCCTTACAAGGCAGTCAAGATAAGTTCCCTCTTCCTTCTCCCAGGTAATCTCTGCTTGTCTTCCCCAGATGAGGAATAGGTGATGGAGTAGAACTTCTGAGTCCCTCTCAAAAAGTTCCCAACTGCAAATAGCCCATGGAGGAGTCCTTAATAGGGACAGAAAAGCCAAGTGACAAATAACACACCTGAGAAGAACAGATGGAGCTAATAAGGGGTTGCTGCCACTTTATGATATCCATAGAAGTAGTATTTCTTTATCAGATCAGGAAATTTAATCTGGCATCTCCCAGGGTGATGGATAACTGCTTGTAATCACTGTGTCAAGACATCATATTTATATTGGTGGGTCGCCACTTTTATTATTAGCGTTTGTTCTGGCTAATTTGCTACCAAACTCATATTCTTTATTTTTAGGGTAGAAGAAAGTTTTAAAACCTTATTCTGGTCAATATTTGGCTTATCTGAAGTGATATCCGTGGTGCTGAAGTACGATCATAAATTCATTGAGAATATTGGATATGTACTCTATGGAGTATACAACGTGACCATGGTGGTGGTGCTGCTTAATATGCTAATAGCCATGATAAACAACTCTTATCAGGAAATTGAGGTAAGACAAGAAACTGGGTTATGAACACAATATGCATAATTATTATTGATAATGAAAATGTGAAAAGAACAAGGAAGTTGTTGTTTATTCCACATGCAAAATTGGAGCACTATTGAAATACAATTCTTACACAGAGTCAAGGCCGTATCAGTCCCAAATTAGGGCTGAATTAATAATTAACAATGAATCATTTCTATAAAAACTTCAACTTCCTTGTTTTTAATGACCATCTGTGAGCAATTTCAATTTCCTTTGCATGTATTTAATGAAAGCAGCTTGTAATATTTTTTACTCCCTACATTGGTTGCAATAATTTATCCACCTTAGCTATGTTGTTTCCTTATGAGAAATCAAGCAATATTTCACTTGTTTCTTTCCCTATTTTCTACTGGCTAAACACGCAGGCCCATTTAAGGCTGAAGCTCACAGATACACACCTTAAAATTCCTTGTTTTCCAATTACCAGGTACAAAATTTTGGTATATATTTTTTATTTTATTTTGAGGCATCCCTGGGCTCACAAATCATAATGGCATGATCAACAAAAAAAAATAACAAACCAAACCAAAACAAAAAAATAAACAAAAAAAAAACCCACCAGCATGTAAAGAATATGAATACAACCATTACAGAACATGAATAAGTATCTGCAGAAAGGCGTTTGCAGGGTTTACCCAACTTTGTTCAGTAGCATTGGTAGAAGCAGGCTGGGTTTGCTAAGTGCTTTGGACAAAAACAACTCCCTGCTAACATAAAGAGAAGAAGAAAAAGAAAGGATTAATATTTGGACAGCTTTAATGCCGATTCACCTCTTTCTTCTGATTTGCTAAATGTCAAGTTTCCGTCGCTGGGTTTGTATTAATTATTTGCTCTAATCTTCCCTCAGAACCTGACACTGCAAAAGGCCACAGCTGAAATTATTTTCTGACTGTAATGTCTGATTCCTCCATGTACTGTAGTGCAAACAGAGCTCTATCTCATGTGTGCTGCAACTGAGTCTAAATGTCAGAGGGACCTTACATGTGCTCTCTGCCCTGGATGCTTTCTTGTATGCAGAAGGTATTTTCCCAAAGTTATCTAATCACTTTGAATCATAGAATGGCTTGGTTTGGAAAGGACCTTAAAGGTCCCTGAGTTCCAACCCCAAACCTTAAGATGAAGCAGCTTCCTCAGCCTTCTACTGAAACAAGATCTACTTCTGAAGGGGTAGCAGATTGTTAATGCATTTTCTAGTTTATTGTAGTAAGTAGAGATACTCTTGCAAGTTTGCAGAAGGAAAATATCAATAAATGTCTCAATAGGTGGCCTATGTTAGTTTTCTGCTCTATATTCAATGTTCCATGATGAACAGTTTCCTAGAAAAGCCTTTAACATCCTTCTTGGCTGCCTGGAACTTTTCAGAACTTTGTTAAAGAATATTTATAACTATCAGCAAGAGAAATGAATGTGAGCTATTCCATCCAGATCCTCCTACTTGAGAACTAGGAAAAATCTAGTAAATCTTGCACTAATTCCTTTAAATCCTCAGCAACAGAGAGATTAAGGAAAGACAAAGTCATCCTACTGACTAAATAGAAAGTCCTTTCTGTTTATCTGGCAACAGCAGTGTCCATAATACAGAGGATGGTAATTACTTAGGAATTAAATTCCATTGCAGTCAATGGGAAAATGCTTTTCTGTTAGCCAGAATTACAAAATAGTATTCTCGTGCTTTCCATTGACCGTCTTTTTTCAGCTACTTCTGGTTTTCTTCTGTTTATCCCTCAAGTATTAATGCATCCTGACCACTTTCTACTTATGGAAAGAAAAAAAAAAAATCCTTCTGCCAGCCAGAAACACTTCCATCATTAGCTCCTTAGCTATTTAGCAGAAAAGCATTAAAAATATTAACAAATTATTTCTACCGTAATTCAGCTTTAGACTTTTGTGAGGTTCAACCCCGAGCAATGAGAAGGCTGGGCAACAGCAGTGAATGTTGCTCTGTTGGCAGAAGCATCACTGTAGCTGCAACAGAATTAAGCTCAGTTGAGGTATGCTAGTTTTTGACATGGTTTTGGAGGTAGGTAGTAATCAGAGGTTACTAATTTCAGCAGAACATGGATGTACGTGAGTATAAGGAACCAGCAGACCATGTTTCTATCTGTGCTGCTGGCCTCTGTATAAACTGCAAAGACAACAGCTATATAGCAGCTGTATCCCTCTGTTTCTTTGCCTGATGGACGGGTCTGACCATCACCCTCTGTAAATGCCAGGCAGATCCATAAAGGGTGTGCTAGCCTTAACCTTGTCCTTGAGCTTGGAAGTGAGCCTGATGTTCATAAAGGAGATTCACAGGCACTGAGTCATGCTGGTGTGTTTTTTCCTACAGCTGCTTAAGTGGCAGGTGGTGAATGGTAGGAGAAATAAGGCGCACTGATCTGGGAATATTATGGTGGTGAACGCAATCAGGATTGACGAGGAAGCAATCTGATGATAGAAGAAATCAGTGATCTAGCCTCCTCTATGGGTGATTCCTGGCCAGTGCAGTGATAACAGTTACCTGGCAATTAGCACTGCAGTTAATCAGAGGGAATCGTTGTTGTTGTATTTGTAACTTCTCCTTTCCATGGCTGTATGTATGTTTTAGTACAGACACTTACCAGCAAAGCACAAGCGCTGGGTTGTTACTGAAAGACAAGCCCTTTGCTGTCCAATGAAAAAAGTAATGTTTGACTTAAAGAAACCACACTAGTGTGCAAAACGCCTTCAACAAACCTGGTTACTGGCCACCACTATAAAGCTGGCTGCAGCTGTGCTCCTATGTTCAAATGAGACAAAAAATACCACTCTGAAATGATTTGCTCTTCATTATCTCCTTTATTGCAGCACAGCTCTGCTCCAGCCTTCTGTGCTCCCAGCTCTGTCCTCCAAAATGCCTCTTTGTGACACTGTGCTGCGTTTCTGCAGCCTTTGCTGGAGAGAAATGTGAACTTATTTGTATCCCATCTTACCCTGACCTTTCTGGCTTATGGCATTTGCCTGGCTTAGAAGGCAAAAACGGTTCCCCTGTTCCCAACTTCTTCTTAATAAGCAGTTTATAAAATTTTTCTGTCAAGCAGAAATAGGTGACGTTCAGTCTGGTATTTGGAGGACTTGTACCCTCTGTTTATTCATTTCTTTGTTTTTTCCTTTTTTTTTGAGATGACAGAGAAACCTAAGAAGATAACGTTCCTTTCAGGTGTCCCGTTTTAGCTGATGCTTGTTAAATCCTGCCTGTATGTTTGTTCTTATGGTAGCTAAATTCCTTTCTTTGTGCTAATTATGCATTTGGGTGTTATTTTCTCTTCCCTTTCCAAGGAGGATGCAGATGTGGAGTGGAAGTTTGCACGTGCCAAGCTCTGGCTGTCCTACTTTGATGAAGGAAGGACTTTACCTGCTCCCTTTAATCTAGTGCCAAGCCCTAAATCATTTTATTATCTCATACTGAGAATAAAAATGTGCCTCATAAAACTCTGCAAATCTAAGGCCAAAAACTGTGAAAATGATCTTGAGATGGGAATGCTGAACTCCAAACAACGGGTATGTTGCATCTTTGCTTTTTGCCTTCTGTGTAGAATAACAGATCCACGGCTGCAAGGACCTTCTGGTGGGGGTTGCATCGTTTGCAGGTTAATCAGGGACAGTGCAGTCTCTTGCTCAGCATTGTTACTTGTCTTATATCAGCACCTAGAGGGTCCTCCCAGACTTGCAGCTCGTTGTACCAAGCACTGTCAGTACACCTGTGACAGAGCAGGCACTTCTATAATGGGGTTTTCCAGAGCCTAATAGACAAAGTTAAAGATCAAGGACAGAGGCACCAATAATATCCCATCTTATCTGGCTCCTAATCTGCCCAGCAGGCTTTCATGCCTCTTCAAAACGTGCTCTTGCCTTTAAGTGATTTCCCAATTAATTTTAGCGCCATTACGTTAACCACCACATTTACTGCCATTCCAGGTTTGGGAACAAGTTTCCAAGCAGTTACTTAATAACACCTCCTAAATGCCTACAGCTGTAATTAGCATCTCCTCTGCTTACTTCTGCCTAGTAATGAGTAGCACTGATGGGCAGATCCTGCCTCTTCCATCTCTTCTTTGGCCACCTGAAATAGAAATGTGCTTTGGTAGCGCTGGGGTCATGTGTTCCCTGTCAAAAGCAAGCATCTGTCTAGCCATTGTCAGCATCCTGATTAATAAAAATGATATAATTATTTCTCAAGATCAACGAGGAAGTCAGGAACAAAAAGCCCTTAAATAGGGACTTCCCTCTACATGCAGTTGTAAGGGTCTGTGTGTATTAGCCCCTTTGAGTCTATAATATGAAAATTAATTCCTTTGAGTATTTATTTCTTTAGCGCTTGGACCAAAAAGTTCATAGGTGGATATGAGTGTCACATAAATCTGTAATGAATGTTGGTCTTCTGGAAGATTCTAGTTGGGAAAAGCAATAGCTTTGTTATCATCTGATAAAAAATATATATATTTATACTGTTCTATTTTTAAAAAGGGTTCAGATAAAAAAAAAAAGTAGCAAATTGTACAACTGTTTTCAAAGAACTGCTGAAAATCAATTCCATTTCAGAATTTTTGGTAGCTGCATTGACTTGTTCTCTGCAAACCTATTTATTTTTTAAAAACTGTGCCCTCCGTTGGTAATCACCAATCTAAGATAAATACATTTCGCTTCTCTTAGCACCTCCTTAACCAAAGCTGGTCTGAGAGTACTATTTTTGCCTTGACAACTTAAAATCCTTTTTCCCAGCAGTTTTTGTTTTTCAATTCTTTTCTTTCTTTCGGAACCTTTTTAGAACAGAATGCGCTGACTTTTATTATACCCACACATTTAATCACTTCCTACCAGATTTATAAAGCTCCCTTAAGTTTGGGGTTATTCGCATGAGAGAAGCCTATCACTTCATACATCACAATGTTTTATCGTTTCAGAAAGTTCGTTTTCAGTCTAGCAGTCTGCATATGGAAAATTTTTCAGTGAAGAATGCTTACAACAAGCCCACAAGATACCAGGTAATCACAGAGCGGGGCAGAGGTGTGCTGGTGTACTGCTCTGCTGGGCTGTATTGCTTGGGTCCAGTTGGTGCCATCCCGTGATGTGCTGAGCCGTGGCTTAATGCGGTCACAGCACTCAGAGACAAATGCAGCGTATCATCCATGGTAATAGACATGGTGTTAATATAGGCCACGCTAATTAATTCCACTCATGGGTATTAAGCTTCAGAGCAGAACTGTCATTCAAGCTTTAATCTCCCATCTTGCACTGGTGGCGTTTCATTGTCATGACACCATGCCATCCCTCCTGTCTTTCCATTGCCATTTGCACGTGCTTTCTCTGTCAGTAACTTGTCCTACACTGCTAAACCTGCAACGTGGTATGGTCCAAAAACACCTATGGCTGCAGTGGTGGCAGAAGGAACCCCCAGCACAGAACTAGCACAGCTCTGTTTTACCACAGCATTTGTGCAAGCAGAAATTTTATTTCTTGTGCAAACAGATAATGGGGCAACACAATAAGCAAAATGTGTCCATTCAATTTCTTTTTTTAATTATACAGTGAAAAAGAATCAGTTGGCAACTACTGCCTCTGGAAAGGCTGACATGAAAGAGTTGAGGAAAATAGTAGTGTGATGGGGTAAAATGTGCACTGGCAGTTCTAGGACTGCTTAGCTCTATGTTGGTGCAGCCTCCAGCACAATGGGTCCTGGGCTGTATAACAAACTGGTAATAATTTGTTCCTAGCCTTAAAAGTTGTCCTTGCTTTTATACCAAGACGCCAAGGTGTCTCTAAGACTCAGAAGTGGAATTTGTTCATTCTGGCATCCTGAGTTAGCTGGTGTGACACCGTCAAAATTGAAGGGAAGAGAGATGATTGTCCTTCTCAAAGCAGCACTTTGGCATTTCTGACATTTTCCTGTATGTTCAGACCCGCAGGTAGCAGAAAGATGTGTTGGCTTCTGCTGCTATAACTTCTAAATGAGATCTCCTAATGTTTGTGGTAAATTAAGCCCTTATTTCTAGGGTTGAGAAAGCCAAAGACAGCTGTGAAAATAAGTTGAGTTTTCAAAGAAAAAAAGACATGAATACTTGTTATTTTCACTTGATTTTGCTCCTACTGGACTTGCCTTCAAATGATCTTAGGAAGTGTCAGTTGCTGTAGGAAGAAATTGTCAAATAATGCCAGAAAGGTGTAATAATCTTCATTATCTAAATGTAAACCAAGAACTTTGATAGTCTGTACAGCAAACTTTCTTCTGCAGCTGGGGAGATGTTTGAAGTAGTGGCTTCTCTGCATGTTTCCTTTAGTGAGGTTTATCAGGTGAAGCAGACCTGTGCTTTGTGTAGCTGCAGTACGGTGCTCTCGAGGGATGCCAAAAGATGTGCAGAACCTAAACATGAAGTAGCTTGAGAAATAGGATAAACAGCTCAACAAATAGGGTAAACAGCTGCCGTGATGCGGGGATAAACTAGTCTGAGTAAAAGAATGTCCTCATCAAACCCTCTTCAGATGAGGCTTTGAATGGAGCACTGCTAAAATGCCGTGTTAAATTCATGTGTTTGTCCCCACTCCCAGCACTGGCAGTCTGTCATGCTGTCAGCAGCACCTTCCTCTATAAAAGTCAGGAAAGGATTTGTCAGGGGAATTAGAAGGACTGGTTGGTAATTTTAGAAGCTCAGGAATATATTTATTTGACGTTTGGGGTGATAAAATAGCTGCAAGTTAAGAGATGAGCACATGTGATGGCTCACCTCACTCTGGAGCTCTTGTACTGCCCAATGGGTAACGCGTGGGTTTGAGACCAAATGTATTTAAACTGTTTCAAGTTTGATCTTCGTTATCACAATGCTGTCTGGAAGCTTTATTTGGCATTTCCCTGTGATAAACAGGATTGTTTTGCTGAGAGGCTATTTCATTCATTGTCGCTATAAGGAACAGTGCTGGGGAGAAGGAGAAAAGCAATACTGGGGCAAAAACGAATTACTTTCCTACACCACTGGCTGAAATATCTGCTAGGTGACTAAGTAGTCTCATGTTAGGATGGCCATGTTTTTAATATTTAGTTTTTGTAGACAAATCTGAATGTGTTCTGTACTTGATGGATTAGGTAGGCACCTTTAGGCTTTTGGCTTTCATGTGCAGCAGTTAATATAGGAGTGTATTTGAGTAGTGGCCATCAAAAATACCAGCTGCATGGGAAGTGGAGTAGACAGATGTTACCATATTTTCCAGATAATAATGATATTCATTGCTTATGTCGATTCCTTGTTTTATTCTAAATTTCCTGTCACCTGTTCTGAAACAAACAAAAAAAAAATCATATATATTTTGGATCTAGGATTTCCCTACTTTCCCCAAACATTACTTCATTTATGTTTTCCCAGGTGCCAACCCTACCTCCCTCTGGATTCTACTACCTTGGCCATCTTCAACACACCGTACGTGCGCTGTGCCTCACCTCTGTTGCCTTAACTGACCCACCTGGTTAGCCAGATGCCTCTTTGAGACAAGGACAGAGTCTTTAACATCCCACATTCCATGACTACATGACCTATACATAAATGAGTGGATCCTTCCTTGATGTGCACGTGCATTTTGTACTGTTATAATTCATAGCTGGCTACTGGGAAAAAAAAAAAAAGAGCAAGTGTATCGATTCCTTAATTCGAGTTTCACAGTCTTTGCAGTGATTTTAAGTGATGTTCAAAGCAGACGTGATTGCTTTGCGAATAGGTGAGCTCACGCTGAGAGGTTTTCCCTTAATAGTGGCCAGCTGCTCAAGAAAAGACATTTGCTTATCCTCTCTTGGATGTTCATCGAGCTCCCCTCTGTTTGCAGAGGATGCAGAAAGCCCTGAGGGCACAGAACTATTCATTGAATGTGTCACTCTTTTGTCTCAAAGAGAGCCCTTTGACCTCATTCTAGAAGTAGTCCAAACAGAAAAGGCTCTTCTATTTTCCTGTTTTAAGAAGCTGCTCCCAAGCAAGACAGCATGTCCTGCCTTAGCTGCCCCCTGAGACCGAGCTATGGCCACCAAGCATTGCATGCCCAAGAACTGATGTAAACATCCAATAAGCAAATTTAGGTATATTAGTTTGGACTCCTGATTGTTATCTCTGATAGAGCAATACTTTTTACATTTCTCACAGTTCAAATGCTTTTTTCCCACTGATGAGGATCTTTTCTGTAGCAAGGAGCTGGCAGTGATGTAGGCGTTCTGATGTAAGCCACTGGGCAGCCTGAGACCGACAAAATTACTTTCCTTCTACATAAATAATGTGTTTTTGGAAAAATATCACATGGCAAACTTGTATCCATCATCACCTCTTACTTTTCCATTTATGCTGTTCCTTACTAAAAGTCATCGCCTGCTCTGTAAATCTGCATGATGCTCTTTTTACCCTACCTATGTCCCATAAGACCCACCATTTCTCTACAAAATTTCTCATTCTCCATTTTTGATCTCTCTTTCTCTGTCCTAAGTCTGTTCTCCCTCCTCAACCCCAAGTTCCAAAGCAAGTATTTCTGTTTAACTTTGGGTCAGATGTTCAATTCATCATCATGAGTGAGTTTGTTATCATCGTTAATTAACGACTTATTTCTTCCAGTAAAGTTTATTTTATAGATACGTTAAATAGCAGCTTGTTCAAGAAATGATCTGAGTCCCAATTCTTAAATTGCTGTTGGGTCATCTATGTTTTCATTATGTCTGTGGGACATACTCTGCACTCGTGTATCCCACAAACAAAATGTGGACTTATTATAGAATGGCAATCAATCAACAACTTCAATACAAAGTAGAAAATAAATGAAAAGTCAACGATAAAAATCCCTTTGCCTCCTCTGAAGCCAGGCATCATCCATACAGAAATCAGGTGCTTGAATTTCTCACAATAAGTCGAGAATTGAGGAGGTGTGGATAAACTCATGTTGAGTGTTTCTGTTCTCTTTTCAGAAAATAATGAAACGCCTGATTAAGCGCTATGTGCTGAAGGCTCAGGTGGACCGAGAAAATGATGAAGTCAATGAAGGCAAGTGGGTTTTTATTATTGCCACAAATTAAAGCATGTCATGTTACTGCTACTGATACCTCAAGTCAAAGGATTGAGCTTAGAGAAAACCCTTGGTGGAGAGGAAGAATGCCTCAGGCTCACATGAAGGCAAACGATGCTGACTCAGAGCCACCTTTCTGCTCTGAAATGTTCCTTAGCAGAAAACATGTATCATAGAGTCTGTCTGAACAGTGTCCTGCTTTGCCTCATAGCTCTATATGTCCTTCCTTAGCAAAACCCAGTGCATTCCCCATACTTAGCCTTGTCTTGGGGCCTAAGTAAAGTAGTTATTGACTGTACTGTCCATGCCCACCACAAGGACATTGCTGGAACTGAATAAGGATATACAGTGCTTTGGTATCTTGTAGGATTTGTAAGCAGATGGAAAAGACACTCCTTGTAATGCCTTCTCCCTGTTATCCTTCTGCCAACGTCCCATGTAGGCAAAAGTCTATAGATGGAGAGAGAGCAGACAAGAAAAAAGATGAATTTTCTGTACATAGTTGTTATTATTGTTGGTCCCTCTACTGCAAGTACAGATAATTTCCTATAAGCCAAATATTAAATGCATAAAAACAGTAACATCATAGAGAGTGCCACAAACACCCATGACTAAGCTCAAGTAAATAGATAATCTCTTCTGTCTTAAAACCATAGGTGTTTATGATTTATTTGATATTGTTAACAACAATGTATTGCTCCCTTTAGGAGAACTTAAAGAGATTAAGCAAGATATTTCTAGTCTCCGATATGAACTCCTGGAGGAAAAGTCCCAGGCGACTGGTGAGCTGGCAAGACTTATACAGCAACTGAGCGACAAATTCGGGAAGAACTTAAATAAGGACATTTGATGGTGAGCACAGAGGAAAGCAACTAGTTTTCTAAACATTACTCAGTCTCAACCAGCATCTTAAGAGGACAAAAACAACGCAAAAAATGGGGACCAGACTCATCTTCTATGAATTGGCAGGTGTCAGTTGGAGCATTTTGCATTACTCCTGTGTTTGGTGAATTTCCAGTTGAATCTTTTATGACACAAAATAACTTACTGGTAAAAGCATACACCCTTCGACATCAGAAATAAATGAACTGTAGGGAAGGCACCTTTTAGTTAAGGGCAGAAAAGCCAGATCTTCATCCACCTGTCTCCAGAGTGAACTGTACTCATTTACCTTAACTCTGTACTGAGCAGGAGTTGGTGAAGGCTGAAGGAAAAACGTGCCAAGCATATTCCTTGAGAATTTAAAAGAATCCTGTCCTTGGGTGTGTACTCTCCTTTTATGTTTACATGGGCATCCAGAGGTAACTTTGAACAGCATGGTGGTTAATGAAAAGTATATGAGAAATCATCTGCTGAAATGAGCAAGGCCAAGTGTCAGATACTTTTCAGATTGGATGAGAGAGTTGGAACCAGGAACCAAACTTGTTGGGTAAAACATCCTTCATCTCTTTGCTGGAACCTGATAAAGGGATTCCAAGCCAAAAACTCCTCTGCCTTTTCCAGCTGTTTTAGCCAACCCACTAACAGATATGGTCCCTTTATACACATACCAAGCCTCTCTTTTGTCCATAGATGATCCCAGCTACAACAACAGTGTACTGAAATATTCAGTGAAAATCCACAGCAGAAATAACATATTTTGTGCTTATGTGTTCAGGACAAGGAACAGCACTAATTGATGACAGCAACTCAACTCAGCTGCTCTGCTTGGGTTCCAGAGTTCATACAGCAAGCCATAGCATGAGGTAAACTATGAAAAATGTACCCCAGGAGCTTCAAATCTTTGAAAGCATAGGAAAAGGCTTCATTTCCAATGAGGACATGGTGACAAATAAAAAATAAAAAGAAGAATGAATTGTTGAAGAGATGATTGTTCTGAGTTATGTGTTTGGCTCTTCTGGAGGACCTGGAAGGAATTAAAACCACTTCCAAGGTTGTAATACAAACACTCAGACTGCACTTTTACAAAGGGTGAGCAACGAGTCGATGCAAAGCAACTGAAGACTTGGATTGCTTGGGTTTCTACGTTTAGCTACGTGATTTCAGTATTTAAAGCACACCTTACAACTTGGGAACCGCTGAACTGTACTGTTTGTTCACAAGGTGCACCTATGAGATGACCATTGCGTTTTAGGTATCAGCTGAGAAAAACAAGCAGAAGCAGAAGGTGACCAGTGATCAGTTCTTAAGTGCCAGATGAGAACACAGATAGCCTAATAGAATCATAGTTATATTTGTACAAAAACGTTGAGGAAAAAAAAAAAAGACAAAATAAAAAAGTGTACTGTATGTAGATCTGTTTAGAGAAAAAGCAGAATACTGTATTTTTACCTTTAATAAGATTATCTTGTATACTGTCATATTTTTACCTAAAACCAGGAAAAAAAAATAAAATTACCTCATAATATTTTGTTGTACATTCGGTGAAATACTTGCCTGATCTTTTGGATACCCCAAACATTTTGTTGTTTTTCTCCTGTGTTAACAATGAAACCATCCAAAGAAGCAATTTTGCCATGAAACTTCTTAAGTTTGACAGAATCAAAAGGCAAAACTTAAAGTATATCTCAAGGGAATGAACTTAGGGAATGGGAATTTCAGACAACAACCTGTAAACGTGACTCCTTACCAGTGGTGCTTTATTTGAAATGTTATCAGCATTAAGACGTTTCTAAAACTAATGTGGGAAATCTGCTTCTTTTGCATGATGGCTCTTGCAACGTAGTGTTATGATGAACCACTTAGATGACAACATCTATCACAGAGCACCAAATGCTGGCACAAGGTGGTCACTACATGTAATGTTTGTGGGAATGGTAACCCACTTGTCATCTCTTTGGCCTGTTTTCCTCTGCTTAAATTGGAAAATGGTGCTGATTTAAACTATTCTGCTTTCTCCATGAGAAGATGGAATATCTTTCATGGCAATGCTGCTAGATTTCCCTACCAACCACTGTGTAAAACTCATTTCAACTTTGATAAAACAGCCCTGTCTTAAAGATTTGTCTCATTACAACTCTACAGCTGGCTCTTGATCCAGGAATTGCTTCACCCTTCCCGTTCAGAGTTCTAACATCTCCTAGGAATGCGAGTAGAATTCCTTAATGCTATGGAATAATATTAACCATAATTTCCATTTCTCATTGTACCACTTACTGAGTCGGATAAGAAAGGTAAGTGGAAATGCAATGATACACTTACATTTTGCATATTTATTTGCAATGCAATGCTCCTAAGGTCCTGTGATGCAGAAGGAAGTGTTCTCCTGGTGCTGAGTATCACATCTGTGCAGGGTCAGCACAGTGTGAGGAGCTTTGTAGAGTGATGTGGGGGCACAGCCATGTCCCAGCAGCTGCCCTGCAAATGGTGGGGTGAGCAAAGCAGCACAGCTCTGCTCTGCACACAGGAATTTGCTATGAAAGAGCATCATGTTTTCTAGAACTTCAAAAGGACACTGAAAGAGGTACAGAGAAGAATGCAGTTTGAAAGATGTGCTTCTTCCCCTTTTATGCATTTACATTCCGTGAACTATCCAGGCACTGAGATTTTTTGTATTAAAATTCATGACAAGCAAAATCCCACTTCTCCAAAGCACTTTTCTCATTTGGTCCCAGGAATACCAGCAGGAAAGCTGCATGCTATGTATTCATGTGCTACGAGCAGAAATGATGTTAAATTCATTGCATGTTTTAACCTCCAAACTCTGTTTACAAGAAATTAAAGTTAAGAGCCTTACTAAATGATCCCCAGGAGAAGTCAGGAATTTTGGAGAGGAAATATCAGAGCAGCTGGGACTCAGAAAGGAAAGATCTGGGGTGTGCAGCCCCCTGTGCCATCCCCCATTACCAGTGGCAGGCTGGCTTGAAATATGGGGGTTCTATTTCTTGAACAAATTCACAGTGCAAAGGGACATTGCTTTGGCCAAACTGTATAAATGGTTACAATATTTTATGGGAAATATGTTAGGGCATTCTCCAAATCTGCTTAATTCTGCAAACCCAGCAGACCAATCAAACTGGAAGTTGGACAAACTGATGGGGATGGGAACAAAGCCATCAACCGGCCAGCACTGATGTACTGACCGCCCCAGTGTTCAGACGTGGTTTCCTTCCTTGCATCAATGCATGCTAACAGAAAGGAGGCAGCAGCAAAAAGCATTAGCATGCCTTTAAGCAGGTGAACTGCAGAGCTTTCAGCCACCAATCCCTGTAGACCAGAGATGCAAATACTGAACCAGAGGAGCTGCCAGGCGGCTCCTGGCACTTCCAGCAAGCCAAAGAAGCTGGCCTAACTGAATAAAGGAGGCACTGAGGACACAGAGAGGACAGCCCATCACTGCACCACAGGCAGGCTTCGTATCAGTACTGAGATGTCTTCACTATAGTTAAATCAGTGCAAATAGAAAGGGAAATAATAGCCAAAGCAGCCAAGTAGCTGAACTGGATGGAGAGCTTGCAGTGTATTTAGCAGCAAGTAAAAGCATACTCACTTAAGGCCACCGGAGAGAGATTTAACACAAACATGCAGCGTGATAAAGAGGATTTGAAAGGGCTTAAAAGGTTAGTGAATAGCTAACAAGTTTGTTAATATTTAAGCAATATTGATTATAATGCAGACTGATATGTAATTCTCATATTAACGATTAATTATATTGATGCAAGGATTTAATTAGGACTTACCCAGCAGGAGGGATGAGGGGTCTGGTGCTGAGATGAATTTCTCTGCTGCAGGCACTGGTCCTCACCCCGGGCAATTGGTCCACATGTACTGAGGAAGCAAAAGGCTGAAGGCTGAGATCTTCCAGAGGATAAATGTCACCCTTTAGTACATCAAAGAGCATGGCACGCAGACTTCATAGCATATTGCATCTGAAAACAGAGAAACAAATCCCCAAAGGAAACTTCTACATGTGTCAGTTGCTGTGCTCCCTCTCTCAGCTCCCTTTAACTGGATGGTAAGCATTACTTTACTTCCACCAAGTTTAAAAACTGATTTTGTGAAAAGATTTTTTTTTTTCTAATACAGAAACAGACTAGGGATTAAATCCACATGCTGATTCCCAGACAAAAGAAACAGAAGTGCATTCATCCTCCAACAAAGCTTGCTGTGTGCCTCCATTTAGAAACAATACTGACTGGTTTTATCAATCATACCTGCAGCCTTCCAGGCCAAAAGTACGATCCTTCAGAGAGCTGCCCCACTCATCTTCCCAACCTCACAGCCACGTGAGCTCACATCTCTGAGACTTCCATTCTGGTCGCTTTTCTCCCCAGGTCCCTGAGCATCACCATCTCCTTGTCACACCTCACAGCATCATCAAACCTGAAGCTTTTGGGGATGACAAGCAGGCCAGCCTTCAGCCAAAAAGGGGCTGCCAATTTTGTTTGAGGAGCAGACACTGAGGGCATTTATGAGAAGCAATCCAGCTCGTGGCTCTCTGGCAGTATCTGGCTGCTAAAAAGCAGTGTTATTGAGATTAAAGAATGGCAATAAATGAATAGCAAATAATAGCTCCTCAGAAGCAATATTCACTGCAGAGTAAAAAGACACAACTTGAGGGAGAGTTTTATATGTATTAAAGATGCTTACCCATGCGTTGTGTGCTTATTAACACCTTTGCTGTTACCCAGGCATGGCACCAAAGCTGCATTTTCCATCATGTTTCACCAACCTGTTGCATTACAGGGCTCGTGTCCTGCAGCTCTTCCTAAGGAGGAAAACAACAGAGATAGAAAGGTGCAACGTGGAACGAGAGGAAGAAATCTTAACGCTACAAGTTAAAACAACAGCCACAACCTGCAATAACCCCACAAGCCCCATATCCCCAGGCGGTCTGAGAGGAGAGCAACCACTGATTAGAGTTTCAGGAGCTTTTTTTCCTCCCATTCTCGGAGCACTACGAAGCAGGGCCGGAGCTGCACGTCGCGTCGGGGCCGGCAGGCAGCGCTCAGCACCAAGCGATGCGCAGCGCCCGTTCTCCTAAGGAAAGCAGCAGCTAGAGGAGCAAAGAAATCTCTTTCTGCAGGTTGGTTTCTCTCTCTCTCTCTCTCTCTTTTTTTCCCTCTTCTCTTTGTAAACTGTGCCGTTAAACTGGGGGAATGTGGAACTGAAGCTTTCTTGTTAAGGGGAAACTCAGCATTTCCCTGCTTGAATTTGGTTCATGCTCAGATGGGTTTCTCTTTCTTGCCTTGCTTATTTGTATGGAAAACACCTTGCTTGCTCCTACAGGACCTCATCTTTCAGAGTCTGGTGCTTATTTCCACCTGCATGGAGATAAAAATCTCCATCAGCAAAATCTGCACTTCATCTACATGTTGTACCAGCTGTGGTCAAACACCACCTGCTGCTGACTGGAAGGGAAGGTTCAGATGTTCGTACTTACTTTGAAAACAGTATGATTTGGTTTTACACTTAATATAAGAACAATACGATCAGGTGATGCTCCAATCCATACCTACATAAGCCAAAAAGAAATCATTCTGAAATGAAAACAAAATCACATTCCAGTGCCCATAGCAGAGTGTGGGGCTGGGTGTGCTTTGAGATCCCTTCCAAAGGATCCCTCCCAACCATTCTGTGATTTCAAGTACCAAAATACCTTGGATAGCAATGCAAGTGGCAGCAGCCCCCACTCCCTTACAATACACTCCCTTGCACCCTTTCTAAATTCTAATAGGAACTCCCTCGGTCATGCATACATCCTGGAGAAGGATTTTAGCCATTAGCCTTCATTATTCCTATGCACATAGCCTGTCCTTAGCAAAAGACACCACTTCAGTAATAAACTACACTTCCAGAAATTTATTTCTTGCTGTTCTTCTTGCAGTGATGAGTCAGAAATCTTTGCATTATGACGGCTTATACCAGTGAATTTTATGCTCCCAGATGCAATTAAGAATCAGACAAAAGCTCCAGATTTGAGTGCACCCCTCCTCTTCCAAACCTAGTTAAAACTCATTCCTGACATTTAGGTCTCCAAGATGCACCATCAGAGACTCCTCTGAGAGCTGGATGAGAGGCTGGAGTGACACAGAATTAGTGGGATGGCATCCACAAAGCTTTCTTTGATTATTATTGGAATTTTACAGCAGAAAAGCTGAGTTTTCCCAGATAAGGAAGTCATAATAATAATAATAACAATAAGGAGAACAATAATTATGATAACAGTAATAATAATAATAAAACATTTAGGAATCATACAATAACTGTATGAGCAAATATCCAATAAACCAAAGCCAGCCCATCAGCAGTTCTATGTTGGCCCCACTTCAAACACTCCCTGAAGCCTCAATGCTCTCCAGCAAACCCGAGTTCTGGGCACATTCCCAGGATAAACCCCAGCCTGCATCTTCCTTGGGCAGAGGACTGTGGCTCAGAACCATGTTGGTATCCTCTAAGTCAGCCCTTGAAACCAACCAATTCCATTGCTTTGAAAATACCACCCACGTTCCATAAGATTCAGATAGGAGATGCAGCCCACAGGGATTAATGAGGACTTGAATTTATTCCTCAAGAGCTTCTGATAGTTTTATTTTTCCACTGTGCCACTATAGTCTTCCTACACACAAAAGTCGCTTGCTTGCTTCCAGCTAGGGAAGGAACTTGATTTCACAGCAAATAAAAATTGCATTCGGGTAAAGAAAAATAAAGCAAGCAATTACTCATGCTGTACTTCAGCACAAAGTTTGCTTACGAAAATTGCCGTGCAGTGGACAAACAGTTCCAGGTGATGTTTTTCTCAGCAGGAGCTCTGCAGTTTGCAGGCTGTGCCCTCGCAGCAGCCCCCACAGTACGGGGCAATGAGA